GTAACATTTTTGGCAGGCTTTGTGCTGCTGAGCTGCATCCCTACCCCTAGCTGGTAACGTTTTGTATCAAGATGTTACTATATACGGATAACTCTGACTCTACAAGTAAAATTTTTCAAAATTCACTTTTGTATCACTTTAGTGAATGGCTACTACGAAGGTTTTGTTTTGCTCTGATATGTCGACTAAAATGTTGGCAGCTGATAACAAAAAAAAAAAGAATCTTTATACTAAAAAGGTTTAAAACCTCCGGCCTGGCCCTCTAGGAAGGAGTGTATTCCTCTTGTTCCCTAGATGAGAAAACTGTAGCTGGGTGAGTGTAGGGCTCCTGCTGTGGAGCTACCCCAGTGTCTGGGTTTCTCCAGGAGCTCAGGGGGCCCTCGAGCTTGCTGTCCCGAGTGCGGGCTGTGCCATCGGCCGCCGGTCAAGGGTAGGTGTCTGTGCTCCCCGGAGCAGCCCTGTCACAGCTTTACGGCTCGTCCTGAATGGCTGCTGGGTGTTCTGTCCACCGAGAGGCCACGGACGGGGTTTCCGCAGAGCTGGACAGGGAGGCTGGGCAGGTGCTGCCTCGGCTGGGGACCATGGCCCTGGGTTCAGATGTCACCTTGCTGCTGTTCCTTCCCTGAGAAGCCCCAAGCAAATCTCAGCCTCACTTGGATTCCTGTCGGAATGCAGATGGCAGTGTAGTTCCTATGGCACCAGGAGCCAAACAGGAGCCTGGTGTGAAGTGCCCAGGACCGTGCCTGGCTCAGGGCCCCACGCTGAGACCCTGTGCAGGCGGCGGGGCGGTGAGGACCAGGCCACCTGCGGTCCGGGCCAGCTCTGCCACCACCGCTGCGCAAGCCAGAGCCAGCTGCCCCTGCTCACGGAGCCTGGCTCCTGCACCTAGGCGTCCACCTGCTGCAGAAGGTTCTCAGGCCCAAGCAGTGAGAACAGGGCCGGCCTTAGACACAGCCATGAGGCAGTTTGTTATTAGCAGGTTTTCCCCACACCCTTTGAGTGGTGTTAGGAAAGTCCCATGCTCTGCTCCGCCAGAGCTCCTACATGGCTATTTAAGGGTTTTTCTGTTGCTTTTTCTTTTTTGTCTTTTTGAGCCAGGGTCTTGCTATGCAGTTCAGGCTGGCCTTGAGCTCACTTTGTAGCCCAGGCTGGTCTCAAACTCGCAGCGATTCTCCTGCCTCAGCCTCTCAAGTGCTGGGATTACAGGCATGTGCCACCATGCCCGGCTATTTAAGCTTAAATTTTTTGTTTTGTTTTTTTGGTTTTTTTGGTTGTTAAATTAATGAAAATTAATTCAACATATATTTTTTTTTTGGTACCGGGAATTGAACTCAGGACCTTGCACTTGCCAAGCAGGCAGTTGTGCTGCTGAGCTATATCCAGCCCTAAATGAATGAAAATTAAACAAAATTTAAAACCCACTTCAGTTTTGCGATGCTGGGGATGGACTTTGCATGTGCTAGGCAAACATCAGCCCTGAGCTACACTCCCAGCCCTTTCTTTAAAATGTTATTTTGAGACAGGGTCTCTCTACATAGCCAAGGCTGCCCTCAAGCTTCCAGTCCTTCTAACCAAGCCACCCAAGGTACTGGGATCACAGGCATGAGCCACTAAGCCTGGCTCATTATTTCCATTTCAATTCGTTCAATAGCCACAGGTAGCTGGGGGCCACTGCATTGAACAGTACAGACCATTGTTATTGCAGAATGTACTGTTGGACAGCGCTGTTGGTCTAGAATGTTCTAGAATGTTCTATTAAAATGCCAGCAGCAAGAAGGCTGCAGGCGTTGCTCGGTGGTACAGCACTTGTCTAGCATTGCAAGGCCTGGGTTCTATCCCCAACCCAGAAGAAAGAAAAGAAAAAATAAAACAATGCAAACAGCTGTGAAAAAGTAAGTCACCATCACTCAAGCCTTGAAGGCTTTTGCTTCCTGAAGCAAGCGCTGGGACACACTAGGATGACCTTGGTGGCCCATCCGCCCTCCAGGAGCCAGGAGGGTCCAAAATATTCCCAAGCCATAGCTTCAGCCTTTGGGCTGTTCATGCCAGTAGAGAGAAGAGAAGGACTGAATTCCACCTGGCACCCACTGTGTCCTCATCCTTGTGGCCCTGCCCGGCAATCCGGGGCCCACCTCCTCCAGGGGCCCCTCACACTGACCCTCCAGCTGCTCCCCAAAATGTGGCAGCACATCTACCCATCACCCACGCAGCAGCTGGTTTCCTCTGCCTTTCTTTTCCCTGCTTCCCTCATAGTTTACTGAGAACTAAAGACTCTGCTTTCTAGCCCTGTCGCCCTACTCTCTGTCGCCTCACTCTCTGTCCGTTCTCCCCTGCAGCTCAGGACCCCTCTTCTCGCCCGCACACCTGGTAAACCAGGAGCCCCCGGCTGGTCCTCCTCCAGCCACCTTCTTCTGAATCCAGCTTCTAAAACACTTAGGAGGAGGGCTGGGGGTTTAGCTCAGCGGCACAGTGCCTGCCCAGCAAGTGCAAGGTTGTGAGTTCAATTCCTGGTACCAGAAAAAAAACAAAAAAATAAAATCAAATGACTGGGGATATAGCTCAGTGCAAAGTCCCTGGGCTCAATCTCTATTCCAAAAAAAAAAGAAGAGGCTGAAACTCACAATACAGAGAAAACCAAGGACGGAGACACAGTGTGACCCCAGCTTGTCAGAGCTGAACCGTATCGAATGTGTGTGTACAAATGGAGCCACACCAAATCTCTGAACCCCTCCCACAGCGCCGCTACCAAATAGTCACCTTCGGGAAGTGGGACTGAAGAGGAAGTGCAGGGGCCTGTCCGAAGGGGCCTGCTGGAATTCTCTGACCGCCTCTGGTTATTCACAGAGAGCAGGCCTGGGTTTCGAGCAAGGGAAAACCGCAGGAGGCCCCACCTGCACAGAAATAACACCTTCTCCCGGGGGTGGCCTCATGGCCCTGCAGTCCTTGCAGAGTTTGGGGGACTTTGGGTGAGTGTCTCCTGTCTCACCTTCATTTCCCTCACGGGTCATATGGGAGAAAGCACAGCCCGTGTCACAGTGAGGCTGGCTTTGTGTGTGACATTACTGAGACCCTGTCAGGATCCAAGATGGCAGCTTTCCTGCTTAAAGGGGAGATGGCCAATGACAAGATTTGGGCCCCCGCCAGGGTGCGCAGGAGAGGGGCACAAGGGCCAGCTCTGAGGGCCGATGCCTCGAGCTGAATGCTGAGAAGTGAGACAGGAGGGGCACGGCGTGCACTGCAGGCAAAGCCCTGGGCTGTGACAGTGGCAAGAAGCAAGGGACCAGCCAGACGTGGTGGCACACACCTGTAATCCCAGCACTCAGGAGGCTGAGGCAGGAGGATTGTTGCAGGGTCGAGACCAGCCTGGGCTACAAAGCGAGCTCAAGGCCAGCCTGAACTGCATAGGGAGACCCTGTCTCAAAAAGACAAAAAAAAAAAAAAAAAAAAAGAAGCAAAGGACCATCAGCAGGGCAGGGGCCTTGCACACTGCCTGAGCCTCCAAGGCAGCTGGATAGGCCTGCATTTGAGCCACAGTGACAGAATCCTACCTAACGTCCTAGGGGCATGGCCTCCTAAGTGGTTTTTTGTTTGTTTGTTTGTTTGTTTGTTTGTTTTTTCTGGTACCAGAAATCGAACTCACGACCTTGCGCTTGCCAGGCAGGCACTGTACCGCTGAGCTAAATCCCCAGCACCCCCTCCAGTCCTTTTATTTTTATTTTCAGACAGGGTCTCCTAAGTGGCTAAGTTGCCCAGGCTAGGCTCAAACTTGTGGGTCTTCCTGCCTCAGCCTCCAGAAGTGCTGGGATGACAGGTGTACATATGGCACGGCCCCTTCTCTTACCAGCTGCTGCCCCATGTCCCCAGGCCTGGTGGTGAACACGAAAGCTCTGCACTATTCTGCTTTAACAAACAGTAAGGCAGGTATACGCCCGGGCCTCGGTGAGAATGTCAGCGCAGGGGTCCTGGGAGCAGTGCTGCTGGCTCTCAGGGCAGCTCGGGGGACATGCATTTAAAAGCATGTAATCTGCTGTCACAGGAACGCTCCACACCTCCCTCCACGTGCCTCGGAGGCCGTGTCCACACCCCATCCCCTGCTGCCAGACCTGAGCTCCTGGCGCCCACTCCCCGGGCTTCACCCAGCAGCCCGGTCCTGCTGTGTCCTCCTGTTCTGTTCTCAGCTCCTCCAGCCCTGTCCAGGCTTGTCTAAGGTCCGAGGCTGTCCACTGGGAGGCCGAGTGGGACTCAGGGCTCCCGGGACCCGAGGGGCAGGTATGGGAAGATGAACCCGCTGAATCCTGGGGGCCCCACTTGTGTGACCTCAGAAAACAGCAGCCCAGGGAAGGTGAGCACAAACTGTAGTGAGTGTGTGAATGTAAAAACCTTGTCACAGTACAGGGCATGGTACCCTAGAACGATGGGATAAATGTGTTTGGGTCAAGAAGTGTGTTTGGGGTATTTTGAGGGGGATTAATGCAAGGAATCTTTTTTAGTTTTAAAAGTAAAACTTTTTATGTTCTTTCTTTGGCTTTTTGAGACAGGGTCTAGCTATGTAGTTCAGGATGGCCTCAAACTCATGGTGATCCTCCTGCCTCAGCCTCCCTGGTGCTGAGATTACAGGCATGGGCCACCCTACCCAGCTTTCTAATGCATTTCAAAAATTTAAACATTTGCCATATTTCCTAATCATCCCACACTGATCAAACACTACAAATAGAAACGTGTCAGCTGGGTGTGGTGACTCACACCTGTAATCCCAGCACTCAGGAGGCTGAGGCAGGAGGATAGCTGCGAGTTCAAGACCAGCCTGGGCTACAAAGTGAGCTCAAGGCCAGCCTGAACTGCATAGCGAGACCCTGGCTCAAAAAGACAAAAAAAAAAAAAAGAAAGAAAGAAAGAAAGAAAGAAAGAAAGAAAGAAAGAAAGAAAGAAAGAAAGAAAGAAAGAAAGAAACATGTCAAATAGAAACGTGACAGTGCATCCTCCTCCACCTTATTCACCAGATCTGCAACTGGGCAACTTCTGGCTCCTCCATGACCATGAAAGGCAGCTGTTCTGAACCAATTCAGGACCTGAGAGCAGCCCCACCAGTGCAACTAGACACCCAGGAAAGAGGACATCCAGAGCTGCTTCAGAGTGTAGCAACAGTGGTGGGACAAGTGTGCTCGGAGCAAGGGGGCGGATTGTGAAGAAGGTTAATGCCAATGTGTCTTTTACTGAAATAAAATTTAAAGATGTCAACATTCACCGTATATGTTGACCACACCGTGTGCGTGTGCGTGTGCGTGTGCGTGTGTGTGTGTGTGCGCCCCCGTGGGCAGCTCCGTGTGAGTGTGTCATGGCATGGGGGTGTGTCTGTGCGTGACCTGCGCGGGGTGGTTGTGTCCGCTGCTGTGGAACGCAGGCGCTCCCCGGGGCCAGGAGACGGCAGCGGTGTAAAGGCGGAGCCTTGTTCTGTGCCTTTCTCCCAGGCCCCGGACGGCCCGGCTTTTCTGGTGTCCCCCCCCCTTCTCTCCGCCTGGGGCACTGGGACTGTGGCCAAGGTCCCAAGAGCTCCACAGCAAGACAACGTCCAAAACCCTCTGTTTTTGTTTGGTGTTTGTTTGGTGTTGGTTGTTTCACTTTTGAGACAGGGTCTTGCTAAATTGCCCAGGTTGGCTCTGAACTCGAAAGCCTTCTGCCTCAGCCTGCCGGACGCTGGGATCACAGGTGTGCACCACCACGCCCAGCTGTCCTAGGCACTTGCTTCTGGCCCAAGTTTTAGGACCAAAAGGAAGACCCCACCAGGTCTGCCCAGGCTTTCCTGGTCTGCTGGGGGCCACGCACCTCCCCGAAGTGCTGCAGACCACCTTCCTCTTTAAAGTCTTAGCGGGGGTGCTGGGGATTTAGCTCAGTGGCAGAGCGCCTGCCTGGCAAGCGCAAGGTTGTGAGTTCGATTCCTGATACTGGAAGAAAAACAAACAAACAAACAAAAAAAAAATAGCCGGGCAGGGTGGCGCACCCCTGTAATCCCAGCACTTGGGAGGCTGAGGCAGGAAGATCGTTGCAAGTTCGAGACCAGCCTGGGCTATAAAGTGAGCTCAAGTCCAGCTCTTTTTGAGACCCTGTCTCACAAAGACAAAAAAAAAAGTCTTAGGGGCTTCTGGCTTCCTGGGCCTCTGCCTGGTACCTGAACCCAGCACCCTTCGATGGACCAGCATGGCCCTCAGAGGTTTGCGGCGGCCTCAGACCCAGCTCTCTCTGTCCCTCTCTCCGGGCGCACCTCATCCCTGCATTGACCCAGGGCCTCCCTCAGGCTTCGCAGCCCTTCTGCCCCGCTAGCTCCCCGCCCCCCACGCCCGCCCTGGGCTCTGAACAGCGGCGTGCCTCTGGACACACAGCTGGACGTCTTGCCAAGCACAATGGTGCTGTGCCCGCGGGCTGTTCCTTTTAATAACAACACCGCCAACGCCCCCCTCCCGTCCCCCAGGGTCTTCTCCGAGGCTGTTATCTTCGAAGGACTCACACTGTACCCCTTCTCCCCACACCTCCAGGCTCGGGACGCTAGAGCCCCTTCCACCCCTAGCCCCACCCCTGCAACACGGGCCGCAGGATACTTGAGGGCTGCAGCTTCCCACGTGGTGGGTGGGTGGGTGGTGCCGGTTAGCTGTTGAGCTGCTGGTTGATTGGCTAACTGATTGAAGGGAATTGATGGGAATCGCTCCCTCAGAACAATGGAGGGGGTGCAGCTCAGTGGGAGAGTGTGCCCCACACCCTGGCGAGCAGGAAGCCCTCATTTCCATCCTCAGCGGTTACAAAACAAAACAATGGAGTGCCGCGCGGAGAGCGGGCTCTGCACGACGTTACGTAACACAGGCCGTGTGAGCCTCAGTTCCTTCTGTGCGCCATGGGAAACCCCGTGGCATCGTGCGCACCGTGAGGAGAGGACGGACGCCCACTGTGCTGCTGCGGGGTGCGCCGCTGTTCACTCCCCTTGCAGGGTCTGGCTGAGGCCCGCACTTCCCCCACTTTACATGCGAGGAAACTGAGGCCGGGAGAAATGGCTTTCCAATGATCCAGCATGGCCTGGGCTACAGCTACAAATGGCTAGTTCTTCGCCCAAAACCATCAACTCATCGGGCTGGCATTTTTCTCCAGGTCAGTGTGGACAGTGGCGGTGGAGTCAGTCGGAAGAGAGTATCTTTCTAGACTTTAAACAACTTTCTGAGCCAGGTGGGCTGGTAATCCCAGCACTCTGGGAGGCTGAGGCAGGGGGATTCCAAATTGGAGCCCAACCTGGGCAACTTAGCAAGACTGTCTCAAAATAAAAGCTAAAATACTGCTCAGTGTGAAGGCCCTGGGTTCACTCCCCAGTACTACACAAAACACAAAACCTGATCAGCACCGAGCACCCTCACCTCTGCCCCAGTGAGGGAAGGGCTCATACCGAGGGCTTCCAGGAAGAGGTGGCATCAGGGCGACCTTGTCCTCCACAGGAAGAGGACACTGTGCCACAGGCTTACAACGCGCGGCAGCAGTTTTGACCCGTGCTGGTTTTCCTCCGGCAGCTGGTCGGGGCCACCGGCCTGATTCTGTCCCCCACTCAGCCCAGCCTCAGCTCAGGCTGAGCCTGCTTAGCTCTCAGCGCGACCTGCCTGGCAGCCACCGGCGCTGGGCGGCCTGCTCCTCAGCAGCCCCCTCGCCTCCCCTGCACAGGGCTGTGGAGTCGCCCACGCCCCACCCCTCCGTCTCACCCGCCACTCTCGCTCCAGCCCCGGTGTCTCCGCGACACCCCGCCCCTCCATCCCTCTTACTTTCTTCCCACAGCACTGTCACCATCTGACACGCCGCGGAGGTGACATATCTGTCTTTATCGTCTGTCTCCCACTAAAATGTCACCTCCAGGGGCTGGGGCTCAGATCTGTGCTGCCTTGGTGTGTGTGTGGTGCTGGGGGCTGAGCCAGGGCCTTGCACGCGCTGGGCAAGCCTCTCCCTGGCCCTGAGCGGCACCCTGCCCTGCAAGTGCTGTGATCGGAGCCCGGCACACAGCAGGTGCTGAACAGATCCTTGAGGGATGGCTGCACTGGCTCACACGCACCGCACACTCTGGCCGGTGTCTTCCCTCCCCCGCCACTCCCCACCAGCAGCGCCCGTCCCATGCCCTGTCCGAGTGGTGCCCGTGTGTGGCAGGGCGTCTGGGGTAGCACCTGCCCGGTGCACATCTGCCTCTGGACCATGTAGACGGTGCCCCGCCCCAGAGCTGTCCCTGACTCCAGGCCCAGGCCAAGTCCAGAAGAGCAAGGTGTGCCCAGCGGGCCAGCTGTGGGGCAGTGGTCACCCACCAGCTTTGCCCAAGGACAAAAGCAGAGGCTTGTACGTTCCCCTTGGAAGCACAAGGGCCCTTTGCTCCAGGTTCACCTCCAGCCAGGCCTGGGCCAGGGGAACCAGAGAGGCCGCGCCCTGGGGTGAAGGTTCGAGGTCCCCTTGACCCTGGGGTCCTCACCGAGGGTGCTTGGGAGAAGTTGTCACGCAGCAGGCTGCGTTTCCGGTGTACAGAGGGAGAGAGAGGAAATGCGCTTCCCCGGCACAGAAACCCAGACCAGGGAGCGCTTGGGAGTGAAGAACAGAAAGCGCGAGAGTGACGCTGACTCAGCAGACAGCTGCGTCCCGGCTGAGGGCCAGGCCCGGGAGGCCCATAGAGCCAGGAGGAAGCATTCTGTCCATCCACTGAGGAGGCTCGGGGTCGTTGTCCCCCTGTCCCTTTGCCTCACGGCCTCGTGCTGCTTGGGGGTGGCACCTGAGGTGGACTGGTCCACAGCCTGTCGGGGGTGGCACCTGAGGTGGACTGGTCCACAGCCTGTCGGGGGTGGCACCTGAGGTGGACTGGTCCACAGCCTGTCGGTGGACTGCTCCACAGCCTGTCGGGTGAAATGACTCGAGGCAGCCGGTGTTGCTGACTGGGGCAGGGCCTTTCCCAGCGCCCACTGCGCTCCGCCCTGCAAGCCTGACCTTCGAGGTCCCTTAAAATGCGCAGGGAGCACCTGGCGCTGGGCTGCGTGGGGAAGGAGCCCAGGGCCGGCGAGCCTCAGACCTTGACGCCCTCAGAAGGCCTCTGCGTCCCTTAGCTCTGGTCCCTCCTCACCTAGCTCACCTTCCCCCTAGCACTCCAACCCTGACACTCCTTCGCAGTCCACCCAGGGTTCTAATCTGCTGTCTACGCTGTGTGACCCTGGGCAAATTCCTCAGTCTCTCTGTGCCTCTGAGTGCTGGACCATCTATTCTTGCTTTTATTTTTGCTTTTTGAGACGGGGTGTCACTTTGTAGCCCAAGCTGGCCTTAAACTTGTGGCGATCCTCCTGCCTCAGCCTCCCAAGTGCTGGGTTTCTCGTCTATTCTTCTCCTACCTTTCCTGGTCCCCTCATCCATAATTTCCAGAAGGGCCAAGCATGGTGGTGCACACCTGTAATCCCAGCACTCGGGAGGCTGAGGCAGGAGGAT